TCCTAGCCACCGTGATGATGATGAGAGAGAGAGACACGCAAACTCCAAATATACAGCAGCAGGCGTCAGGGTCGGGATCAAACCCATGACCTTCTGTACACCAGGCGAGGTAGTTAACATCTCCTAGCCACCGTGATGATGATGAGAGAGAGAGACACGCAAACTCCAAATATACAGCAGCAGGCATCAGGCACGGGATCGAACCAACGACCTCCTGAACACCAGGCGAGGTAGTTAACATCTCACCAATATAGGAGTTATGGATCAGGAATCGAGAGAATTAATAGCCATTCCGAATCCACTAATTGCAATTCCGAACCCATGGTCGACCCCATGCTCAACCCCGTAACGGCTCGCATCCCGGGCGCAACCCCCTCGACGCTTTTCATTGGTCAGTCATTGCGTTGCAATCGCTTCCCATTGGCTAGATTAGGCGCATGCATTCTGTCCTCCCCAAACACCCCGTTGCACGTGATAAGCCACTTCGTCGAACTCTAATTTGTGATCATTGAACCCACGACCTCCTGTATTCTATAATATAATTTGTGATAGCTTTGTCGCTTCTGAAAATTAGCTATATAGCTCAATTGGCCTGGTGAATTAATTGTTTATAGAAAAATCAACCAGATAGGGTGTTGACTGTTATGTTAGCCGACTCTCTGTGTTGTATTGCATTATATTTCTAAGTTTACTAGGTTTGTTTTCTCTTTCATTTTGTACCTGATGATGATTGCTTGTGTCGCAATCGAAACGTCGTATGATATTATTTAATTATTATTTTCTTTCTACGTGACTTTACCGAAAGAACCAAGAAGATGAATCCCTGCAGTCACGAAAGCTTTCAATCGAAATTTAACTCGCCTGGTGTTCAGGAGGTCGTGGGTTCGATCCCGACCCTGACGCCTGCTGTATATTTGGAGTTTGCGTCTCTCTCTCTCTCATCATCATCACGGTGGCTAGGAGATGTTAACTACCTCGCCTGGTGTACAGGAGGTCGTGGGTTCGATCCCGACCCTGACGCCTGCTGTATATTTGGAGTTTGCGTGTCTCTCTCTCTCATCATCATCACGGTGGCTAGGAGATGTTAACTACCTCGCCTGGTGTACAGAAGGTCGTGGGTTCGATCCCGACCCTGACGCCTGCTGTATATTTGGAGTTTGCGTCTCTCTCTCTCTCATCATCATCACGGTGGCTAGGAGATGTTAACTACCTCGCCTGGTGTACAGGAGGTCGTGGGTTCGATCCCGACCCTGACGCCTGCTGTGTATTTGGAGTTTGCGTGTCTCTCTCTCTCATCATCATCACGGTGGCTAG